CAAGGCGAGAAGGAAGCTCAAGAAAGCAGGCGTGAGCGAACAGCTGCCGGGCGATTCCATAGAGCTGTCCTTCTTCTTTGCGCAGTGCTCGCTGGAGGCGACTGTCCAGATCATGGAGCCTTTGGGCTACAAGCTGCTGTACCTGGAGCACTTCTACGCCGTCTTCGCCTCCGCCTCGGATTTCGTGGCCCTGAGCGAGGCAGCGGGCCACGCCTTGCACTGGAGCCGGCAACATCCCCGCCCTCGAATGCGATGCAGTAGTTATTGTGTTGTAACTCTTGAGCCTCGAGGAAGCCATCCTTCCGAGGGTGCCTTCCGAAGCCAGGCCCTGAGCAGGGCTCCCAGCCACACCCTGTGCACGGATCGGCCTTGGGAGTTTCATGTGCCAGCTTCCGCCAGGGCGATCTCAAAGTTCCCCCCCCAAAGCTCGAGGCCCCGATGCAGAACTGCCCGGCCTCGCGCGAATGCCCCAGAAGGGATGGCCGCGGGAGGATCCCAGGATGCTCCGCTTGGGGTATAGCACGTCAGGTCTCGCACGGCTGAGACTGGTCCCCTTCCCGCCCAGACATCCATCTGGCTCAGTGTTTTTTCTCGACGGGCCCGGGAGCGCTCGACCCCATCCCTCGGCTGGAACTTCTGGAAGGTTACATTCGGCATCGGCGCTGGCACATCCGTGGCCCAAAGCCGCCATAGCCTGGCGGAGTCCCGCTGGCAATCCTGCGGGCAAGATTTATATCCACATCCAGTGCGTCTCGGACTTTCTTGGAAGGGGCGCCACAAGGCCGATGCGCACTGGATATGGACACGAATCGAGCCTCTAACTGTGGGGTGGTTTTTTATCCATATCCAGTGCGCCTCGGGTTTCAGAGAAATGGGGCCCTGCAGTGGATATGGACAGAAGCATTGCACGCAAATCCAGCTTAATCGTGAGCTCAACCCGGCTCAATGGCACCTTACTCGGACTCTTGGCTGTGTTGAAGCCCTCTTGGGAGCCTCTTGGGCCGTCTTGGGGTGATCTCGGAGGCTTCTTAGGCCGTCGTGAACGCTGCTACGAGACAGAAAGCGAATATACGCTGAAAATGTACGTTTTCCCTAGGGACTTGGCAGATTGCTGCCACTTGGGGGCCTTCCTCTGAAGGCTCCTTGAGGCGTCTTGGGGGCCTCTCGGGCCGCCTTGGGCCCGTCTTGGGGGCCTCTGGGGCCGTCTTGAGGGCGTCTTGCGCTGTCTTGGGGCTCTCCCTGCGCCTCTTCGACCACTTCTCTGATCGCTTTGGGTCTGCTGGACAAGGCCCGGCAAGGCGCCCTGGGAGGCGCGGCAGGGATGGGGGACCGTCCAGGGGGCCCCAACGCCCCGGATCCCGAGGAGACTTTTTTGTTGGGGCGGGCGGGGGATCCCGCCCCCTGGCTCAAAACACATAGGACGAGGAAGTGTGATGTACGTTTATATGTATGCATGCATGTATGTATGTATATATGCATGGATTTATGTGCGTATGTATGAAGATATGTATTTGTGTGTGTATGGATGTATGGATGGATGGATGTGTGGATATATGTTTGTCTGGTTGCATGCATGTTTGTATGCATGGATGCATGTATGTATGTGTGCATGCATTTATGCATTTATGCATGATTCTATGTATGCATAGGTGCATATATGCATGTATGACTGTGTGCATGTATGCATGTATGTATGCAGGTATGCATGCATGCATGCATGCATTTATGCATGTAGGCATGTAGGTATGAATGTATGTATGTATTTGTGTGTGTATGGATGTATGGATGGATGGATGTGTGGATATATGTTTGTCTGGTTGCATGCATGTTTGTATGCATGGATGCATGTATGTATGTGTGCATGCAGTTATGCATTTATGCATGATTCTATGTATACATGTATGCATAGGTGCATATATGCATGTATGACTGTGTGCATGTATGCATGTATGTATGCAGGTATGCATGCATGCATGCATGCATTTATGCATGTAGGCATGTAGGTATGAATGTATGTATGTATGTATGTTTGTGTGTATGTTTGCATGTGTGCATGCTTGTGTCTGTATGCATGTATGTGCGTACGTGGGTGTGTATGTATGTATGTACGTAGGCATATATATATATATATATATATATATGTATGCACGTATGTACGTATAGTTGTTGGTTTGTTTGTATGTCTGTCTGTCTGCATGCATGTATGTAAGTATGTATGCATGTGTATATGTGTGTATATGTCTGTCTGTCTGTCTGTCTGTCTGTCTGTCTGTATGTATGTGTGTGTATGTATGTATGTATGTATGTATGTATGTATGTATGTATGTATGTATGTATGTATGTATGTATGTATGTAGGTATGTAGGTATGTAGGTAAGCATTGATGTTTGTATACATGTATTTATGTATGTATATACATACAGATGTACACATGCATATCTACAGCCCCTAGACAAGACCTATCCCGGGTGCAGGAGCGGTGCCTGTGGTTCCCGGCTCCAGCCAGGGGGGCACACACACACACACACCGCTCCCGTGCCCAGGATGGGGCCCAGCCAGGCGCGGCGGCCACATGCACGGACGCATCGATGTCATCGTCCCGACGCAGGGCCCCCAGGGAGGGTAGGCGACCCACGCCTCTGGGGGGCTGGCGACACCCACCCCACCTCGGGGGCGGCAAAGAGGGGGATGACGACAGGGGGGGGGGAGATCATGGCGGGGGCCATGATACCTCCCCAGATTTCATGGCGCCGCTTCTTATTTCCATACGTCCCTGGTCCTCCGGGCCGCGCTACTGCCTCGGGCCACGCGTTGCACCCTCCCCTCTTGGACGCCCCCCTCTTAGGACGCCCCCGACCACCCCGAGCTCCCCCCTCGTGCGAGCCTCCTCGGCGAGGCGTCGAGGCCGACCGCGGCGCCGCGGGCGCCCGCGGACACCACGACCTTCGAGGCGTGGCGGGCCGGGTGGTACTGCTCGCCGGTGTCGCGCTACCTCGTGGACGCCGAGGCCCACGCGGGCTTCGACGCGGACTGGCTGGTCACGAGCAGCAGCGAGGACGCGAAGACGGAAAGCAATAGGAACAGCATGATGAGGAGAAGCGCAGCACACAGAAAAGAGCAGCCACATCGGCACGATCACGCCTAAGCAACTATAGCAAAACATGCACTAGCATGACAATAGGAAGCCCAGTGGGCATAACCACAGAGCCCCCCTATCGGCGCCCCCAGCGCCGTCCCCGGCGCGCTCTTAGCGCGCCAAGGAAGGGGGGGGGTACGGACGACCACAACCACATACCAGACAGGGGGTGGGAGCATGACGGGATACGGATATCCAACTGCTGTCCGCTCCCCCCTTCTCCTCATCCTCGTTGTCCTCGTCGTCCTCCTCCTCCACCTCCTCCTCCTCCCTCCTCCCTTCTCCCTCCTGCAGCTCCTCCTCCTCCTCCTCCTCCTCCGTCTCCTCTTCCGTCCCTTTCCTCCTTCTCCTCCTCCTCCTCCTCCTCCTCCTCCTCCCCCGTCCTTCTTCTCCTCTTCCTCCTCCTCTTCGTCATCCTCCGATTCCTGCTCCTCACGCTGGTAACCTGGAAACAACATTTTTTTTTTTTTTTTTTTTTTTTTTTTTTTTTTTTTTTTTTTTTTGAAATTTTTGAGTTAAATTGGTGTGACCCATATATATATATATATATATATATATAATAGAAATTCTAAAATTTGAAAAAAATGCTTTTTCGGAGGACCTGACGTTTTCGGCGATCCTGCTGGGTTGGCCGGCGGTGCCTGGGACCCTGGAAACAGCCAAAATCTTAAAATCTTTATTTTTTCAAAGAAAATCTGGTGCGACCAAAATTTGTTTTAAGAATTTAAATTGTTTTTTTGGCTTTTTCGGAAGCCCAAGAAGTTTTCGGCGGTTCTGCTGGGTTGGCCGGCGGTGCCTGGGACCCTGGAAATAGCAAAACATTTCAAAGTTTTTTTTTTTTTGTTAAAAAAAATATGGTGCGACCTTGTGGGCATATCACTCGACCCCGTGCACTTGTGCTTCTCCGCAGATCGGCACTTCGTCAAACGCCGCATGCGCCCCGACAGTCGCGGGCTTGGTTCTGCGCTCAATAATGGGCAAATTCAGCCACCCTGACCCGTCCAAATCTCAGGGGCCTTTCTTCGACGGGACCCAAGTGCCGCATCTGACCGCGGCCGAGCGAACCCACATTGGACACATCGAGCAGGGCGGCTTGCAGCCGGCCGCGGCTGCGCGCGTCCTGGAGGCCATGGATCCCAACGTGCCAATGCGGTCTCGCATCGAGTTCTGCAGGCTGCTTGCCAGTTTCGTGGCAGTGTGTCCAGACCGCCTGGACACGAAGTATGACAAGGTCACGTTCCGTGAGCAGTTGGTGGCGGCGTGTCGACCGAATAGAGCAGAATGGTTTTTCAACAATGTCAGGGTACCGTTCTCGATTAACGGCGGACGCTAACGCCTTGCTTGGCACTGGCACGACCAGGAACGAGCAGGTGCACGCCGCCCTGAATTCAGACTTCAGGCAGACTCTTCGCGTCAGCAATCAGATGCTTGCAGCCGAGCTTCGGACCTGGGGCGCCATGGAGCTGGCGCTCGCGCACCGGGCCCTGGCGGGTCGCGCGACCGTCCGGGTGAATCATGCAAGCATGCGGCCGTTTGTGGTCGCCTCGGCCCAGCTGTTCAATCGGGCGAATTGGACGGCGCACTTGAATAGCGCGCAGGCGCAATTCGAGAGTTTTGTTCCTGAGGCGACGACGCGGCGAATGCCGCGCCGTGGTCCTACAAAGCGCCAGGAAGAAGTATTCCGGCGCATTCGGGACGCAACGCGCCCGGGGGGGGCGCGCTGCAATCTTCGACCTCTCAACCAAGAAGAGGCGCACGTGATTATAATTCTGGCAGCGGCGGGGCGAGCTGCAAAAGTTGATGCCCGCGCTCTTTGCTCCCGCGCAGCCTCCAGGAGAAGAGGGCCCCACTGCGCTCGCAGTAGGCGGCCCCAGTTTCCCTCGGAAGATTCGCAATTTGGCCTTCAAGGGCCCCTTGAGGTCCCAGGAGGCCCAAGGATGCCCAATCATGCTTCAGGAGCCCACATGAAAGTCCAATCGCTCACTATCGCGTTTAGTGCATTTATCGGTTTGACATCGTAGAAATGACAGTTAATTTAAATATATGCACATATACACGCGTATGTATATACAGTACAATCTTTGTAGTCCACATGTGAGTTCACACGTCTTTAATACTTTATTTTTCACATGCTACAGAGTGGGATGTTTTTGCACATGCTACATAATATGAGGTGAGCACAGCACGTATAGTTTTAAGGTATACACATATTCGTATATGCATAATGAAGTGTAATAATGTATATATGGCGTACATTTACAAGCATATGCCTCTGACTTTATTTATATATGTACATATATTTTTATATGCATGTATATATGTTCTATGTATATATACATTCGTAGAATGTATTACAACATATAATATAGTATATATAATATAGCTGATCATCTATATGTTTATATATGGTAGTACATGTTATATGGTACATGTATATATTTATACCATAGCAAGTATATGACACGCATACGTTTATGTATTCGTATATCATGATTATGTAGATGCGCTGGTGTGTTGAGTTTGTACAGTTGTTAGAGTACATGGTACAGTAAAAGGCAGCGTATGACATGCTATACATATACGTGTGGGCGTTACGAATGTATGCACATAACTCATCTGCGGGCCTCAGCAAGCACAGGGGTCTCCATGGGGGCCGCAGGAGCCAACAATATGTTCCAGTAGGTCCAGGCACCACGAGGTCCTCGCAAACATATGGGGAACCACCGCGGGCCCCAGGAAACCCAAGGGAACCCCGGGAGGCCATTGAACGTTCCAAGAGGAGGTGCGGGGAGGCACCGCTGCACTTCAGGAAGCCCGAGGAGGCTTCAGGACATGCCAGAAGACCACAGGGGACCCCAGCTTCTCAGGACCCCCAGGAGGCCACAGGACCCCCCTGGAAGATTCAAAGCGCTCAGGAGGCCCCTGGAGGCGGCAAGGCATCCCACGGGAAACCTCCGGGGGTTTCAGGTGGCCGTGTCTGACATGTGGTTCTGGCGGTGACAACGCCCCTTGGTGACCCAGAGTCCCCAGAACTTCACCACGCGGCGTTGGGGCCCGGGTCGCGTTTCGAGGATGCGTCGAGCGGTGGTGGTCCCAAGACTCACGAAACCCGCTGGTAACCCTGAGTATCAAAACCTGAGGGTGGCATTCTGAGGATTTGGGGTCACCGCAGGATGTCTCGCCACTTGGTTTGAGGACGGCCAAATCACTGGTGTGAAGTGTAGTAGGGTTCCCCCGAGGGTACGAAACCATTCGCGCTTCGCGCTTTGCGGTTCGGCCCCGGCTCTTCTCATCCTCTTTTTCACCCCCAGTGGCTTCGCGAGAATGCAAGGCGCGAAGTATTTCTCGCTTCGCGCTTCGCGGGGCATGGAGGGCGATGATTGGAACCCCAGGAATAACGCATCTTTGCGCACTAGTTGCCGCCGCCTTCCGCGGTCGCCCCTGCTAAGGGCAGGTGCTCGTCTTCAATGACGGTCAGCTATCGCAGGTTCATTGTTCCCCCTCCGCAGTGCCACGCTCAGTTTACCACCCCCATTCCTCCAGGCGGCTTCCGCTCTCTGCAAGTCCACCTCGGCTAGCGTCAGTTGGGCAGGGTCGGGCGAAAGAAGGGGATCGTGACGGAAGGGGGGAGGGGGGGGCGATGGGGGGCGGGGGCGGGAGGGGGGGGGGGGGGGGGGGCGGGGAGGGGGGGGGGGGGGGGGGGGGGGAGGGGAGGGGAGGGGGGGGGGGGGGGAGGAGGAGGAGGAGGAGGAGGGGAGGAGGAGGAGGAGGAGGAGGAGGAGGATGGGGGAATGTCCGGAGGAGGAGGAGGAGGAGGGGGGGGAGGAGGAGGAGGACGAGAGGAGGACAAGGGGGAATAGGCGGAGCAGCAGCAGCGGCAGCAGCAGCAGCAGGGAAGGGAAGGAGGGGAGGATGGAGGGAGAGAGGGGTTCGTACCTCTGGCGTTTCTTTCGGCCCGCCGATCGGACGAAAAGAGAGACCGCCGCCGCCGATGGCCAGCCGGGGGCGGGGGCGCGGACCCCTGGGCCCATGTCGTTCCCGTCGCACTGGAGAACCGCATCCCGAAAATAATTTCGAGCGCCCCGACAAATATTGAAACGACGTCTGCCCGACCCGCTGGCGAAGTGTCGAGCGAGTGTCGCCCCCCAGGGCCCGCCGCGCGAAAAGCCTCCAGTTTCGAGGCGCTTCCTGGTGCACGAAACTCCTTCTGTAGAACAGAAACACACAGGCACAATGGACCGTCGATGCCCAGGAAAGTATGGGGGAGTATGGGAAGTAGGGGAAGACGAAACCCATAAAATATGAAACATATCGAAATTGGGGAATCCTGTGTGTCTCTGGGCCCCTTCAAAGTAGACTGCAACGCCATACATGGAACATGTGTAAGATTGGGAATCCTTGGATCTGTGTCAATTTCTTTGTGTGCCCCTAGGCCCCTTCAAAGTAGGCTAGAACATCATAAACCCTGGGCGGCGGGGGGGCTTCCCTTTCCGAGGGGCTCTCGGTGGCGGCGGGCCTCTTTCGGCGGCGGGCGAGGGGGGGGGGCTGAGAATGAGAAGGCCTTCTCAGAAGGCGGCGGGACTTTTCAGAGGCCCTCGCGCCTTCTGCGAAATTCTTTGGCCTTCGGGGAAGGCTTAGAACAGTTTTCATAAGGCCGGGGGACTTCCGAACCTCCTCACCTCCACCCCTCGCTCGCCGCCGATCCTCCCCTCGAAACGGCACTGCCCCGCGGGGAGGAGCGGACGCAGTTCCACCTCTCTTCCGAAGAGAGGTGTGGGTCCTTTTTCTTCTTCTGGAATGAGGATGTTCCTCCTTCCAGAAGAGGGAAAAACTACCCATGCCACCTCTACAGCTCCCGTTTTCCCCTTTGTGGGCCTCCTGGGAGGCCCCCGTCGCCACCGTTGGATTCGCCTCGAAATTCTGGTCAGAACGCACCCCAGGGAAGGTCCACATGGTGGCGGTAGCGGTACCTTTTGGTTTCCCCATCCTTCGTGTTTCCCCCATTCCCTTCTTTGTCGGCCTCTTCCCCCTCTATCTAGAGAGTTCTTGCACGGTGGTGACTTCCCCGTTCTGCCCAGAGACTTCTTGCATGGTGGCAGACCCCTTTCAACCCCTTCCCCTCCAGTGGGAAGCTGGCAATTTTCTCTTCATCCGTGCTGCACCTTGTTGCCTCCCCCCTCCCTCTGTCCCCTCATGGAAGAACAAAACTGCCCTGCGGGTGTCCCAGACCCACCCACGTCATAATTTTTCATGACGTCGACCCCCAGAGGTTTCGACCACTTCCCTGGGACCGTCTTTCGTCCCCGAGTCGTTTTTTGACGGCCCCTAGGCCCGGCAAGGGCCCCCCTCGAGGCCGAGAATGGCGAAACACCTTCCGTCGTGATTCCTTCACTCCTCGAGGGGGTCCGGGGCGGAGGAGCTTCCCCGCAGCCTCTGCGACTTCTTCGCCGCCCACGCCGGCTTCGACGCCGCCGCCCGGAGCTGCGCCGCGCAGGCGCCAGCCCGCGCCGCGCCGGCTGGCCAGGCCGCGCCGCCCGCGGGCGAGGGCGGCCTGCTCCGCAGGCCGGTGCAGCGGAGGCGGGCGGCGCAGGGCAGACCCCCAGACCTCACACGCAGGCGCACAGACGCAGACGCAGACACACACACACACATACACAGACCCAGACACAGACGCAGACGCAGACGCAGACACAGACACAGACACACACAGGCACACACAGGCACACACACAGACACACACAGACACACACACACAGACGCACGCAGACACAGAGACACACAGACACACAGACGCACAGACGCACACACTAACACAGACACAGGCACACTCACATACAGACACGCACAGACACAGACACACACACACAGACAGACACACACACAGACACACAGGCACACACGCACGCAGACACACACACACAGACACACACTCACACAGGCACAGACACAGGCACACAGACACAGGCACACAGACACAGAGACACACACACACACAGACACACAGACACACACACACACCACACACACAGAAAGACACACACACGCACTGTGATTCGGTCGCTGTCCCCTATGGTGGCTCGGCGCACTTTTGGCTTCCCGGTCGGCTGGTCCAACTCAGCGAGGAGAGTAGCGGGCTCGATGATGAGCATTACCAGCAAGCATTGCTGATGGGTGGCAGCGGCTGAGGGCTGCAGTGCAGGAAGACGGCTTCCACGGCGCATGCAGGAGGGCACAGTCACGAGAGTGGGGAGGCGGCCTCCAGCATACGCACAAATATCCACATACACACAAACACACACGCTCAAACAACACACACACACACACACACACACGCTCACACACATACTTTTTGGCGGTCGTGGATTTGTGCGCAGCGTCGAGGAGTCAAGCCAAACACAGGTATAAACACACACAAGCACACACGCCCGCACGCACGCACGTACGCACGCACGCACATACACACATACACACTCATTCACACACACACACACGCACACGCACACGCACGCACACACACACACACACACACACACACACACACACACACACACACACACACACACACACACACACACACACACACACACACACACACACACACACACACACACACACACACACACACACACACACACACACACACACACACACACACACACACACACACTTTTCTCGGCGTCGCGGCCATGCGTGCGGCGGCGTGACGTAGCACAGGTCAGGCGAGCGCGCGCACCAGCCCGGCTCACGCGTTATGGTGGACACACACACACGAAGCCGCATTTGGACGGCGCATTGGCCCGACAATATTGCGAACTCGCACATGCAGAATGATCAAACATTCGATCAACAATCGAACATTCCACG